CCCCCCCCCCCCAACATGGCCTCTAATCAGATGGCTCCGGGCCCCTCTGTGCCTGTATCTCCGCTTCTGTCTCCTCCTGACTCCTTCACCACCCTTAAATAAGGAAGCTCTGAGATCCACACAGGTTAACATTTAGACTGCCTTTGAGGCTGTTTTCTTACCTTATTCCTTTCATTTTGATGAATGGAACCTTCCCTGGTTACTGTTTCTTTCTTAGGCCAGTGAAAATCCCTTCAAAGTTATCTTGCTTGCTTTACCCTCTTTTCTTTTGTCCCACTTGATAAGAGGATTAGGCAGTTGACTGACTTCTGGTGAATGAGGGTGAGACAGGCTGGGAAATTCCAGAGCATTAATAGTGAAAGAGAAACGTTGAGTCACTGATGGTGCTGTGGTGTGGCCAGGCCCCAGGGTACTGGTGCGCTAGTCTTTCGGTGGTGGCGGCCTTCGCGCTGGCCTCACCCGGCTACTCCCCTCTGCTGTGTTTTGCAGTACGTGGACCGGCCCTGCCTGGAGCCCAGCCCAGAGCATCTCCTCTGTGCTCATCTCCATCCAGTCCCTAATGACTGAGAACCCCTATCACAATGAGCCTGGCTTTGAGCAGGTAAGACCGGGGCGGGGCGCGGAACTGTGGGCAGAATACTGGGTTTGAAGAGATCAGAGAGGTCTGCTTCGGGGTCCTATTTGTTTGTCACCATAGGAGGAAAAGGGAGCTGGTTCGTGGGCTCCTTAAAAATGAGTTTTTTGGGGCGCCTGGGTGGCGCAGTCGGTTAAGCGTCCGACTTCAGCCAGGTCACGATCTCGCGGTCCGTGAGTTCGAGCCCCGCGTCGGGCTCTGGGCTGATGGCTCAGAGCCTGGAGCCTGTTTCCGATTCTGTGTCTCCCTCTCTCTCTGCCCCTCGCCCGTTCATGCTCTGTCTCTCTCTGTCCCAAAAATAAATAAAAACGTTGAAAAAAGGAAAAAAAAAAAAAAATTTTTAAAAATGAGTTTTTTTTCCTCGTAAGCCCGGATAACACCGTCAAGTTCTTGCCACGTGACTTGGGTGAATCCGCAACGTGGGAATGAGTGGAGTCATCCGGAAATTAATTCTAAGCTTTGGGGGCTGTTTTGCAGCCAGTGGCTTCTTCTGCACGTGTCCATTCTGCACGTCTACTTCCAAGTGCTGTTACCTAAAGAGCCACAGGAGCTAGTCATTAGCCAGGGCAAGCGTTTTTTGGTCAAGGGACGCCTGGGGGGTTCGGTCGGTTAAGCGTCCCAACTCTTGATTTTGGCTCGGGTTGTGATCTCACGGTTCGTGGGTTCAAGCCCCGCATCAGGCTGCATCAGGCTGCATCAGGCTCTGCCTTGATGATGCGGTGCAGAGCCTGCCTGAGATTCTCCCACCCCACCTCCCTTCCTTCCTCCCTCCCTCTCTCTCTCTGTCTCTCTTTCCCTCTCTTGCTCTGCCCCTCCCCCACTCGTGCGCACATGCACGCTCTCAAAATAAATAAACCTTAAAAAAAAAAGGAAAAAAAGAATGCTACCGAAGAGAAGGCAGAGGAAAGTCGTATTTTCCAAAGGTTTGCTATTTGCCAGCTACTGCCGAATTTTGATATATAGTATCTCATTTAATCTCTACTTGGGGTAGATGTTGTTATCCCCACTGTCAGATGAGGTGTTGGTCACGTGGAGAGGTTGATTAACTTTCACAAAGACACCCAGATCGTGGTAGAACCCAGCATTTGCCTGGAACCCATCGTTCTTCCATTGTTTAAAACTGCCTGCCAGGATTACTCATGAGTACAAGAAAAGAGTTCTAGTGATAATCCCCAAAGATTATAATTCTGTCTAGGTGATTAAAACAGTTAACTGAGTTTTAAACTATTTGGAACAAAGGGAAGTACCTTTTAAGAATGAACAAAAGTTATTCCCAAAACCATCCTTTCCCAACAGTGTATTTGATTTCAGGCTTCGGTAGAAATGGAAAAGGGCCTTACTCACTAACCAAGGAGCTGATTTTAAGGTCTTTCCTTGTTTGGAAATTCAACAGAGGTGACTGATTCTTTTCTTTTTTTTTTTTTTTAAGATTTCATTTTTAAGTAATCTCTGCACCCACTGTGGGGTCCGAACTCACAACCCTGAGATCAAGAGTCGCACGCTCCGCTGACCGAGCCAGCCAGGCATCCTGTGACTTTTATTCTTAATACCCCGAAACATTCTCACTTCACAGCCCCCTGGTGTCCAGGTGGCTTTTTCACAGCTCCCCAGAAGGAAGGAAGTGCCCAGCTGATCCATTTCTTAAGTCTTTTTTTTTTTATATACGTTTATTTATTTTTGTTAGAGACAGAGCACAAGTGGGGGAGGGGCAGAGAGAGAGGGAGACACTGCATCCGAAGCAGGCTCCGGGCTCCGAGCTGTCAGCACAGAGCCCGACGTGGGGCTCAAACCCACAAACCGTGAGATCATGACCTGAGCCAAAGCTGGATGCTTCACCGACTGAGCCACCCAGGCGCCCCCGTTTCTTAAGTCTTAAGGCTAAGCAACTTCTTTCTTAAGTGACTAAAATGGCTTACTGACAGGAAGAGTACCCTTGTCGGGCCCCACCCAGCCTTGAAGATCTTGGAATCAGATGCGATCCACTGTCCTCATTTGTCTTCCCCGCTGTTTTCACGTGCTACTTGTTGTTTATCAAAGTAGTCACTGACAGTCCAGCGTCCCAAAGATAACGTATCACCAGAAAGAACATAATGCGGGTAACAAAAGAACTGACCCACGTGGGGGATGCCTGGGTGGCTCAGTCAGTTAAGTGTCCGACTCCCGATTTCGCCCCAGGTCCCTGATCTCATGGTTTGTGAGTTCGAGCCCTGCATCGGGCTCTGTGCTGACAGCGTGGAGCCTGCTTGGGGTTCGGAGAACTGACCTGCTGAGCGCCAGCTAGTAGTTTGCGTGGTGTTTGACAGGTGGGGACTACTGTGGCTCTCCTCAAAACGTTCAACACGCCCCACGGCACCCCTGTGATCTCACTGTGGTGCATTTTGGAAACCGTGGCAATACGCCGAGGGTGTGTATCTCTTTCTTGTTCGTGCTGGGTTTTTAATCAGAGGCCAGGGTTCTGATTGCCGGGCTGGTGGCAGGAGGAGCGTTGAAGAGTAAAGGAAGAGTTACGAGGATGGAAAACTGTACCCCCTTCCATTTATACCCGTGCGCTCGTGCCGGCTTTCTCCAAGTTGGAGTTTTGTTTTGGAAGATTCAGGTTCCCCTTCGATAGATTCATATTAGTTGGTGCAGTGATGGCGGATCCCTGCAGACCTGAAAAGGAGTTAACCGGGAAGCATCCTGGTGTCTATAGAGTTCTTCGCTGAGACTCCTGATAAGTGTGCCTTTTTTTTTTTTTGTCCCGCCACCATCCCTCCTGTTGGTTCTTTCCCACAGAATCGACCTCAGAGGCCTCTCGTTTCACCGTTAGGAAAACGGTGACGGACCTAGGTTGCTGCTTACAGGTCGAGTGACCTGTAACGGAGGATGGGTATTGGCCCTCGTGGCGGGGGAGGTGAATGGTCCCAAAAATAAAAACTTGGTTGCTCTTCGAGGATCTGCTACCCAGCCGGAAAGGTGTTCTCTGGATTCGTCTGCGTGGGTCACGTGCCCCATGCTCATCGTGAAGTCTCCTCCTGTTGACTTTTCTCTTTGCCCAAATTTTGTACTTGCATACTCTGGTATCTGTTAACGTTGCAGGAGAGGCATCCAGGAGACAGCAAAAATTACAATGAATGTATTCGGCATGAGACCATCAGAGTGGCGGTCTGCGACATGATGGAAGGAAAGTGTCCCTGCCCTGAACCTTTACGGTATGTATGCGTCAGGAGAGTCAGTACCCACTTGGTACTCGGTATTCTTTTTGGAGGTTTAGCTGGTTCGTACCTTTGAGAGTCTTCGGGGCAAAATCCAGCGTTGGGCACCAGGGGAGATACGGAAAAAGGAAAGATGTGGCTCGTGCCCGAGGGTTACTCGAGAGGAAGTTCGGAGAGCTTCTCTTTCCTGGGAGAGTGCCGAGCCTGCTGGGAAAGTATTAACAGTCACTCTCCTTGAATCATCCCTAAGGTAGGAGAGAAATCAGCCACGGGCCGTCGGCTGTTCCTTTTTCCATTTGCCACCGAAAGATTTCTGTAGGATGCCACACCCGGGCTCGGGAACTCTCACTTGGTTTGGCAGCGAGGCTAGATGACGAAGGGGGGAGCCCTCCCCCGCCGTGTTCCTCACGTCAGCTTCTCTGCCTCTTTTCCAGAGGGGTGATGGAGAAGTCCTTCCTGGAGTATTACGACTTCTATGAGGTGGCTTGCAAAGATCGGCTGCACCTTCAGGGCCAGACTATGCAGGTAACGCAGCCCCTGCCACTGACTCCAGACGCCTTCCCGCAGACCATGTAAGCCCCCCGCCCCGGCAAGGATAGCGCCCGCGGCTCTCAGAAGTCAGAGCTGAGAGCAGCTTGGCCCAGTTTGAGCGGCCGCGGCCCAGAGAGGAGACTGCCTTGCCTGAGACACGCGGCATCGCTTCTCCGTTCTTGGCCTAAACGAGGCGCTCACGAGTAGTCCGAACTGTCCTGCTTGCTCATCTGGAATGCCTTCCTTTCATAGTAGTCTTTTCAAACTCGAGAGCTTTCGGCCTTCTGGGAATCTCCGCGATTACAAGGGCGAATCTCCTATTGGAGTTCGGTCCCTAGGTCAGAGGGGTGCTCAGAGAACGAGGCCGAGGGAAGCGTTGGACGTGTGGCGTTGTGGGTTGGAGGATTCCCGTGGCGAAAGATAGCAAGCCCTTGTGTAGTCTCTGCCTGTACCGGGGAAACGTACGTTCCACTTCCAATAAGAATGCAGCGCTTAGGGGCGCCTGGGTGGCTCAGTCGGTTAGGCTTCCGTCGGCTCAGGTCACAATCTCTGGGTTCGTGAGATCGAGCCCCGCGTCGGGCTCAGTGCTGACAGTGTGGAACCCGCTTGGGATTCCCTCTCTCTCTCTCCCTCCCTCCCCTCCTCATGCCCTCCCTCTCAAGTGCACTCTCTCACGTGCTCTCTTTCTTAAAATAAACTTTAAAACTCCTTAAAAAAAAAAAAAAAAGAATGCAGAGTTTAGACTTGTTTTCAAGAGGAGATTCTTACTAAACCAAATTGTAAATGGTCTCAAATATAAAAAAACCCGCTTGTTAAGAGGACGAGACTCCTGCTCTCCCGAGGACCAGGTCTTGTGTCTTTTGGCTCATTTACTGGCCATCTTGCTTTAGAATCCTGCTGACTTGGGTAAGTGACTGACATGTCCTTGAGGTCCCTCCCCAGCTCTTTCTGAGCCATTTCCCCCGCCCGGTCCTCGCCACCAGCCGCAGGGGTGAATGTCTTCTTTCCTCCGCTGCTGCTTAGAAATGGCGGTGTCCCTTTCCTTCCTTCACGGACTTTCCACCCACCTGCCACGTGCAGACTCACAGGGCAGGGGCGCCTGGCTGGCTCAGTGGGTAGGATGTGCGACTCTTGATCTCAGGGTTGGAAGTTTGAGCCCCAGCGTTGGGTGTGGAGGTTACTTGAACAAACAAAACGAAACGACCTCAGAGGGCAGGGGCGGCTCGGGGTTAACTTGTTTCCCAACCCCGTTTTTAGAGGACATGGGAGGTGCTTCCTCCCATGGTTTCAGGAACCCTTAGTGCTGGTATTTAAAAGCATTTCCATCGTTCACCCTGTGGAGGAAAAATAACTCGTGATGAGAGAAGGAGAGGGAGGGGCAGCGTCTGGGGAGGAGGGAAGTGGGTGGCTGTGGAGCCCGGGATGAAAAAGGGAAGGTTTGAAAAATTGACCGCCTCGGAGGGAGTGTGGCGTCCAGCCTCGGCGGAGCGTAGCCCTCGTAAGTGGCAACACGCTGGAGCCCCGGGGACTGTGATCTGTGTTCCCTGGCCCCTGACCCTGAGGGTGACGTGTAGGTAAGAGTGTGGAAGGCGTTTATGTGCGAGAAGCAGAATGTGAGGGGAAAACCGGCTGGCTTTTCGGGACTCTCGAGGAAGGCGGTCCCCTCGCCTGAACCCCGGCCCCGCTGCTTGGCCTCCCTGTTCTCTCTGTGGCATTTTAAATTCCTTTTGTTTTTGCCCTGCGCTCCAACCATAGTTCTTCTTGAGACTCTCGGGACCGTGAACCCCTCTCTGCAGAGTGTTTGGAGATCTTTGATCTAGGATTGAGCTGGGTGGCCCTGGAGTCATGCCCAGGAACCTGGACAGGGAGGTGGTGACAGGTCTCCGTGGAAGAGTGCACGGGTGCTTAATCTGGAAGTCAGAGCTCCTGAGTTCTCGACCTGCCTGTGACGTTGGAAAAGCAAGTTCCCCTTTGCCGAGTGTGGGAAAGGAGGGTAATTTTTCTCTCGTGTGGTTTTTGTGAAGTGAATTGAAAACCAGCCCAGGCACGCTTCACGATTACGGTTCTGGTCTTCAATTTCTGTTCCTTATCTACCTCTCCTTTCCCCTGACCTCCCGCATAGTGGCTTGATTTCAGGGAACAAAAGTACATTTTCACGTTGGCCCCAGCCAGACCTGTCTGGGGTGGTTCACGTGCCATAACGTTCCTGAACTAGTCCTGTGTCATGTCGTCCGCTGTTGGCCCCTGTCGGTGCGACGCCCTCCTCCGCTCCCGGGACTCGGAAGCGGAGCGGGCGTCCCGCGTGGGCCCGGAGCTGCTGTCTCTAGGGTGAGCCGTCCAGACTCCGAATCTTCCATCCCGCTTGTCTCCTTTCCCCCACAGGACCCTTTTGGAGAGAAGCGTGGCCACTTTGACTACCAGTCCCTCTTGATGCGCCTGGGACTGATTCGTCAGAAAGTGCTGGAGAGGCTCCATAATGAGAACGCCGAAATGGACTCTGATAGCAGTTCGTCTGGGACAGAGACAGACCTGCACGGGAGCCTGAGGGTTTAGACCCTGCTCCCTTCTCCCCTTCCCCCACTCAAGAGTCCCAGCAAAGTCCCTTCCCCCCCACCCCAGGGACGGAGAGGCAGTGTGTATCTCCCTCCAGACGTGACGTCATCCTGCAAGATGGCAAGAACCGAGCAAGCTCGGATCCCAGGGTGTGGGAGCGGGGAGGCCGTTCCTGATCTGACCTCCCTGGCTCTCGAGCATCCGGGGCCATGTTCATCCCATAGCAGGGGCCCAGGTACCTATGCAGGAGCACCCGGGGCGAGGGCCTCTGGCAAAAACACGGCAACCGACACACCTCTCCACAGGGCCGGCTCCTTAGGGATAGGTGGGAGACAGGCTGTAATCCCAAGAGGGAGTGTGCCCACGCGACGTATGGGGTTATCTGGAAGGGAGCTTTGGGGGGGGGGGGTGTCTGTGACACTTACGCAGTCTGGGTGGTTGTCTGTCTGTCTGTCTGCAGTCTCGAAGCAGGGCTTCCCAGCGCCCTTTTCCCCCCTGCCTCTCTTCTCCCACTACTTCCCATGGGCCAGCATAATTTTGTGTTTCCTAATTTATAGTCACTGTTCTAGACAGACCAAAGAGAAGGAACAGTGGTGGAGTCTAGGCTGCTGATCAGTAAGCTTTACCTAGCACCTGAGCACCTTTCTCCTCTGCCCCGCATTCCCGCGCCCCTTCCCGGATTGAAGACGGAAGGGGACTGGCACCGGGACCGAACCGAGTCTTGGTTAAAGCCCGCACAGGCACCCTGAGAGGCTGATTTTGTTCCCGCAATCACTGATTTGAGAAGTTCCCCACACAGCCAGCTGCTGTGTATATGGGATTGGAGCCACTACATAGAATAGTTTCTTACAGATTTTCAAAAAGGCTGGTAGCCACGATGAGGGCACTTCTGAGGGCGGGGTGCGGCAGGGAGACTGATGCTCATCCTGTTGTGTTTCCGTTTGGCTGTCCTTGTGTATTTTCACCCCAGCCCCTCCCGCGCGCCCCCCCCCCCCCCCCCCCCCCCCGCCTCAACTTCAATGCCCAGGAACCTGTGGGGAGCAAGGTAGCCAATGGCAGGGGGGCGGGGGGGGGATGGCTGGGACTCTGGGCTCCCCTTCTCGCCACTCCCCTCCCTCTCCCTCCCAGCTGCTCTGCCGCTGGCTCTAAGGGGTGTCCCCTGGCTGTGTCGCTTCTCTGTATCTAGCTACAGTGATTCTTTAGCCAGTTGGCTCGGAAAAATGGGCTTTAGGTGCCCTGTGGTACTGGGCGTTGAGGGAATCCAGCCTTCCCCTTTTTGGTGTGTTCGCCCCATATTTTCCGGATTCTTCCCGTTAAGGCTCCCAGTGGGGTGTCGGTGACCCATGTGACGCAGGGCCTCAGGCAGCATCCAGCCACGTGGAAGGGAGAAGGGAGAGGAGACGGCGTACCTGCCCCGCCCCTGCCGTGGAGGTGTCTGCCTGGGGGTCGTGGTGGGACTTCCCTGGGGGAGTTCCGGGAGTGGGGGGCACAAAGGAGAATGTCCTACTTGGGAGGGCAGGAAGCTGAGAAACTGGACAGGACGTGGGCTTGGGGAACGGAAGCTTATCTTGGATACCGAAGGCGGAGTCTCTTAACGAGACTCAAAAGAGGGACCCTGCTTCCCATTTCCCTCTTCCATTCCCAGAGCTAGCGCAGGGCTTAGAAGAATGCCCTTGGTCTGTTGGTCCAGTGGTCGTCTGTCATCCATTTTAAGTGTTCCCACTTTCAAGTGACAATCCTCTCCCTGGCCCTGCCATGGGCAGAGCATGTCTGGCATACGGGCCCGACTTTTACGCCCTAATCTTGAGTTGAGGAAATATATGCACAGGAGTCAAAGAGATGTCTTTATATCTGACTGTACATAAATGAAGTTTTTTGTTTTTTGGTTTTTTTTTCTTTTTGGTGCAATAAAGTTTGTTTTGGCAGAAGGAGGAAGCGCCTGTGGGTGTGGGAGGGTTTGCGCGAAGGGAGCGTGGGTCTCCTCGACAACCACACCTCTCCCCTGGGTCTGGAACGTCAGGGAGGAAGAAAGCACTCTGTGAACTGTCGAAGCTGGAAGCTCCCGGCAACGTGACCTGGGTGGATGGATGCAGGGCTGCTGGTGACCAGTTTCCCGCCCACCAGAAGAAGAGCGTTTCGTGAGCCCCCCCTCGGGCCGCCAAGGAGAGGAGTGCCACCTCGGCCTCAGCCGCTTCCAGAGAGATGCAGGTCCCACAAGGACGGGCAGGCCTCGAGTCTGGGCGCCTGGGCTTGGCCCGAGTGTCCCCTGGTAAGGACAGGGTGTCCACGTTCGGGATAATCCAAACCACTGGGTTTTCTGTTTTCTGGCACTTAACCAGCCCTCAGGAGCCCAGCGTTCGGAGACCGTGGAGACGCTGCTTCGCGCAGCCTCCGCCCCACACCCCCGTCCCTACTGGGTAAAGGGAGGCCCCCGCTTTCCGGCGCAGAGGCTTTTCCTCCTGGCTGACCACGGGCGTGGGGAGAAACTTTGCGAAATGCCGCCCCGTGCCGTGTGCAGCCAGGATACGGGAAAGTGAGGGGGTCTGGTGGGAGTGGACCTAGGCTCTGGCTTTTCTCTTTGCTTCTTCCGCCTGGCGGCCTCTGGTAGAGGACTTGGACCCTTCGCCTGAGACATTAAGGAGACCTACTTACCCAAGTCAAGTCGTGAAGATTAGAGGGGATTCGCAAATGGGGTAGGTGGGGTAGGTGCTCAGTAAACGATGCCCTTGCCGCCACTGAGGCTAGAGGGACCCGGTGAGCGACAGGAGAGGGAAAGCCGCTAGGAAACGGGAGAACTACCACCGTGTAGGGCCACTGTCGGTCAGTTCCCCCAGATTCCACGGTTTCCTCTAACCACCACTTGACTTTGACCTCTGTTTCACACTCAGCCGTGTCTGTCAGAACCTGCAGGGCCTCAAGGAAGCTGGATGAGACCGGACGAGTGGCTGACTTACGGGTCCGTGAGGGTCTGCTGGTTTGAGATCAAAACCTCTTTCTAGGGACCAGCTTTGAGCCAGCGGGCTGTGATTTATGCCTCAGGGCTAGAGAGAGACTAGGCTGTCGAGCCAGGAGGCGGACAGCCTTCGTTCTAGACCCAGCTTTGCCGTGAGCTTGGAAGACCGGCCCGTAGAGGTCCTGCCCTCCGTGCTCGCTGTTCTGTGTAACTCGGGTCCCCCTTACTGGATAAATGAGGTTTTCTCCACTAAAGATGCTACGGGAAGGCACTTTAAGAAAAAACAAGCCAATGGGTGAAGCGTACAGAGGGCGCAAGAAAACTTAGAACTCTTTCTTCTTGAAAGAAAACAGAGACAAAAGCAAAGTTGTTCGGGTTTTATTCACCAACCGCTCTCCCCTCCTCTCCCTGCCAGCTGCCGGGCCCCCACCCCCCGGGCGCTCCCAGAGTCAGGGGAGGGCTTCTCTGGCCTCCTCGGCTGTAATCTCCTGGGAGTAGAGGTCCGTGAAAAGAGCGGGCAGCCAGTAGTGGGCCTCCCCGGGGGCCTGTAGGTCCAGCCAGGCCAGCCCTTCCTTCAGCAGGTGTTCCTGGAGGGAACGGGGAGGAAGAATCCTCTGGGACAAGGGAGCCCCCGTAGGGTAGACTGACAACCCCCCACACCTGTTTTGGCTTCAGTGGGGTTTTCAGGCTACATCTACACGAGTGCCTTCCCGTATTTACACAATGGGAGCCACCGTGCTTAGTTCCGCGTCCGTTACCTAGAGGGTAAACCTTTAGGGAGAAGGTAACGAAAGGGCTGTGTTAGCTTAGAATGGACTCCCCATTCCTACAGCTGGAAAGAGGCCCAAGAGGGGCTGGTTGTGCCCCACAGCATTAAATAGATGTTTCTGTTACCCTGCTTTCCAGAAAAAAAAGGAGATCTAGTTTAACTGCCTGGATGAGGAAGAAGGTATGGAAGGCCAGGGTTTACAGTCTCACGCTCCTTCTCCGTAACATCGGCCTCTCGTTAGCGCCACGAAATCTGTATCTATAGAACTGTAACTACAACACACAATGTAACAACGTGATCGTGGATGTGTCATTAAGTAGTTCACAACCCCCTCACTCTGTATTAACAGCGTTACTTCTGATACAAACTACGTGGTCTGACCAGGCTCTACAGGCCGGAGACAGGAGGGGGG